ACACTAATACTACCACATTAAAACAGCTGTTGAACACCTAACACTAATACTACCACATTAAAACAGCTGTTGAACACCTAACACTAATACTACCACATCAAAATAGCTGTTGAACACCTAACACTAATACTACCACATCAAAACAGCTGTTGAACACCTAACACTAATACTACCACATCAAAATAGCTGTTGAACACCTAACACTTATAACAGAATCCGCTTCACACATAACCTGGCATGTATCCTTAGGATTCCCCCCCGGGGGGGATGACGAGGTGTTGCTCGTCTGTGTCACTCTCTGGGTCCACTGTGCCTTCCTCCTGCGTTGAACAGGTGTGCTTGCTAATGACAGTTATTTGAAGAATAAAACAATAATAAGAATACTTTTTTATATATGATCCGGGAAGAAGGTGGGGGAAGGTTCAAGCAGGGTTGTATCCAGAGCCTAAACACTCAACACAGCCTTCGCCGCACAATATGTGAATATTAAAATTACATTCTGATGTGATATCGGTAGGTCTATATAGCAATTCATTAAGTTTAATTATCTCGATAGTTCTACATCGAACTTAGCTAGGGGTATCATTTGAGGAATATCAGAGAAAAATTGTTAGAAAACTTGACAAATTAGCAAAAAATAAATTAATGGATAAAAATTAAATCAAGGCCTGCTCAAGCTCAGCTATTACTCGTGAAATTAACTTAAAACAATATCACAGATAAAAGGCTTAGTATAAATATACGTCTTGACAGGGTAGGGATCATTCAGCTAAGACAGCTATATTTTTCTAACAGGGTGGTTGGCTTTTGGAATGGGTCACATTCAGATGTTATGGATACAGTTAATTTAAGGAAGTTTAAGAGAAGGCTTGATAACTACTTGAATGATAAGGGCTGACTTTGAATGTTTTGTTTCTATTTTAAAATTTTGGTTAGTGGATGAGACGGTCTAGATGAATCAAAAGGTCCCTCGTTGTTCTTAAATTATATATATATATATTGCTTTTTCTTTCTTCAACTTGTGAAAAAAAAGATTATTTGTTTTGATATTCACACAAAGCTATGCAAGGACTATCTGCGAAAGCCATTAATAATTTTGAACTGATAGACTAGAGGGAAGACAGCACTCACTACCAACTCTTAAACTACTTTACTCCAATAATGGGAGTTGACCGATATTGTAATAATACACACACACGGCTCCAAAGTTAACGGGACTAGAGCATGGCTCTTCGGATCCACTGTACAGCACGTTAATTACTAGGCCACCCCAGCCAAAGAAAGATTATTAAATTGAAACTCAGTTTGCAATCTAAATTTGATAATCGTAGAACACGTGATACATTCTGAGCTAGACTGACGTTCATAAATTATTACAAGAAGTTAATTGTGTTGTTTTGTGAATTACACAATATCGTTTACCTTTTACTAACCATAAAATTATTATATATATAACTGAATATTGAAAGATCATTGTGAAAAATATATATATATATAAACTGCTTGTAATTTTCATAGACTGCGGAAAACCAATCAGCGGACACTATAACACCAGAAAACTAAATATTAAACTTATAAAAAATTTAGTTATCTTTATATATAGATATATATTAATATTCTTAGTCTTTAGTAAATAGTAAATCTGTTTCAATAACATTAATGTATATATATATATATATATATATATATATTAG